TTTTTAGAGCTCAATTTTCTTTTAAAAATTTTAGCGTACAAATTTGTACGCTAAAATATACGGTTTAAGGGATAATATTAATTTATGTAACTACATGCACTATATATACAAAAATATATAATAATTATATACTTTAAAATAATATTAATTAATGCGATTATAATATATGAGTGTCGCTAAAAGAAAACCAAAAAATTTAAATATAAATCATATTTAAATTGTCAAGTTTTTTTTTAATGACACTCATATTTTACTAACTACAAATTTGACTATAAGAAATCAAAGATATCTGTACAGAAAAACTACTCCTGATATGTGAGAAAAAATTGTTAACATGGTTAACAACCAATATATTCCAATAGTTAAAGTTTCTCACCTTTTTCATCTCGCACCCTCAACAATTCAAAGTATTGTAAAAAGATTCGATGAGGATGATAGGATAGTTCTTAAGCCACGAGGTGGTGATAAGAGATTGCTTTTAAATGATATGCATAGATTCTTTTTAAAAGAACTAATGAAAATAAACCCAACCATTACTATTAATGAATTATATCAGAATCTTATTGAAAGGTTTCCTGATCTAGAAGTATGTATACGTATATATATAATATTATGAAATCTGGACTGTATACTAGTATGTTAATTAGCTTACAGGCCAGAGTTCACTTGTTATAAATCAATATATTTACTGTAATTAATGTACACATTTACGTATCGTACATATATAAAATATACAGGTAAGCAGATCAACAGTCGCACACAATATTGTCAAACTAGGATTTACATTAAAGAAGCTAGTACCTGTTGTTGTAAAGCGGAACCAAGATACTATTATTGTTCAATGGAAAGAGTACGTTGAGAGAATATCCTAAGAGAATATTAATATGTTCAATGATGTGATATACATAGACGAATCTGGTTTCAACCTGCATCTCTGTCATTCTCAGGGACGTGCACCTCGGGGAAAACCGGCTGTTAAAGAAGTAGCCACTCAACGTGGAAAAAATATTACAATAATTGCTGCAATGAGTGGAAATGGAATCATTAAAACCTCATGCCGCTTGGGTTCAACCACTGGTAGTATTTTTAAAAAATTTATAAAAAAGTTAATAAGTTCTCTTCCCCCAAATAATGGCAAAATTTTTATAATGAATAATGCGAGTATCCACAAACAAGTTAAACAAATAATTAAAAAAACACCACATGAAGTCATATTTTTGCCAACATATTCACCTTTTTTAAATCCGATAGAAATAGTTTTTTCTAAGGTGAAAAATTTGGTAGCAAAACATCCTCTCGACAGCCAAGAAACAATTCTAGGAAAAATTGAAGAAGCGTTCGACAAGGTAACTAAACAAGATTGTAGAGGTTGGATTAGTCACTCTCTATCGTATTTTGGTAGTTGTTTAAATAAAGAAAGGATAGAAATGTAGTTGAATTTGAGTTGGTTAAAAAAAAAAAATCAAATTTTAATATTTTTGTAAAATTTTTTATATATGTAATATGATATGTATATATATAATAAAATATCACATACCATATTAATATTAAGTAATTAATAGAAGTCAGATATAATATATATAAGGCATATAAAAAATAAAGAAAAACTTAATTTTTTTGCTCTAAGTAAACAAACCGTGAGCTGTATACCAATGGCTAACAGAAGAAAACATATCTGATCCAAACTTAATCCCACATCTGGTATGCAGTATATAAAAAAATCATTCTAATCTCTCACAGTTTGGATCGAATACGTTTCTTCCTGCTATTATGACTTGGTCACATATACAATTGTTCTCTGTAGTAATAAGGTTGATGTGAAGCACCTGGAAAATGTGTACCAGGTAAAAAAAAAATAAAAAAAAATAAAAATAAAATAACAAAACCAGATTTATGATAATAATGAATCACTAGTATTATTGTTAAAAAATTATTACTAAAAACTGAAGCTAAATTAACTATAAAGATAATAATTTTAGCTCTATAATTTTAGATATTTAACCTGTTGATAAATCATTAATAAGGCTTTAAGGCTTTTTATTTATATTTTAATGCTGAAGATATTTATTAACTTGCACGTATATTTAGGGTTTAAAAAGCCAAATACAGTAATTATAAATAAGTAAATAAGCAATTGACATCTTAAATTACTACATTTAATGCTGATGAAAATTATTGACTTGATTAATTTAATAGACTTTATTTTATGATTCTGTGCAGGCAGTAAACTGGATGCTTTAGTTAGTGATGAGCATGTTATAAATCAGGAAATATTCTGAGGTCGAGATAAAATTTTGACCCATTTCCATAAGATTCCGAAATAAAGTGGTGGCAAAAAAAATTCGCAACTACATCGCCAACCTTTCCGAACCCTCTCTGAAACCTTATATGATTAAATATCAGATATTTAAATTTATATTGATTATCTAGTTGAACCATACATAAATACTCTTCACCGCTTGAAAGTATAAATTTAAATATTATATTTTATAGTCTTCCGATGAGGTTCAGAAAGGTCGGTGATGGCGTTATTCGCGAATTTTTTTTGCCACCACTTTGTCATCTTTGCGAACCATGCATAGGATTTTTGAAAAAAATACCAATTGCCTATCATTACAGCATATATAGATTAACTTATATAAATGTGGTATAAATATTTAATAATTGCTAACTCTTACAAGTTTTTATAAATATAATTTTCAATTGATTAATGACAAATATGAGCAGACATATAGTTAAGAAGCATGTTGATGACTTATGAAACTTTCTTTTTCACTTAAAGTATAACAGTTTTAATTACTAGATAATTCATATACTCTTATATAATTAAACTCATTTCGCGATCATCAAACAATGTTATAGAAAATAAAGAGCCAAACTTTTCTTTTTCAATTCTAACATTATCTACTTCATTGAATTGAACCCATGATCATATGTGAGTGCTCTAAGTTGAAATGCTTTCGTGCAATCATCATTATACTTATTGCTATCTTTGTTGTTTCACATTATAGACATCTTACTTCATCTATTATAATATGCAGACTTCTGTATTTAAGTTCCCTTTGTAATCATAATATATTTTTATTTCACTTCTGTCATACAGATTTTAAATAGAATATAAATAACTTTTATACTTACCAACTAAAATTAATGTGAATGAAAATGTGAATATCAATATATTTATCAGTTTCCAAATTAGAGTGACTGCATTTCACATAGATATTATATTTGTCACTCAATCATATGCTACATATCAAACACTACAATGGAATACACATATGGGATATCACCTCGCTGTTCACGTGGTCAACAGCTATTTCCTAGCATCATTGATCTATCCTACTCTATTCACTTATTTGATATCCGAGCTGTTCAGTCGGGCTATCAAAGCACTTATCCTCGATATCCGGGTTGTCCACCCAGGCTATTGACATATCTATAACTACCAAACACCCCCACACACAACTTCTTTGCCTGGTGGCGTGTGGGTGGGCACTAACAACAAAGCTAGACTTTCGTCGAGCTAGCAGCAAAGACAAAAGAGGAAGAACCACTTCCCGATCCAAAAACTCTTAAATAGTCATTTACCATGACCTCATGCTTACCATCACTTATTCTATTAAACTCGACATTCATCACCTAGTGCATCACTCCAGTTATCTCATCATACCTCATTACTTACTAATCAGTCAAATTCATCACCACTTACCCTCGCTCATTAGACGTCATGGGTCTGGGTCATGATCTCGTAACAACTAGATGCTCCATGACTTCGTTCATGTCATCCCAGTGGTATAGTACAATATTAGGGTATTACATTATTCAATATTGTGTTATTGTGGCATTGCGACATTACGACATTATGGTGGTATTGATAATTAATTCTGCCAATGGTACGTAAAATGCTGTAATTGCCAATTATAGCCCTGGGGGTAAACATGAGATCATAAATAATTTATTATTAAGTTTTTTTTATATTTACAATTTAAGGGTGTAAAATGCTTCTGAGTAAGTATTCATTGTTAGTAGGTAGAACTTATTATAAATTGCTTAGTGATTATGTATTAAGTAATTGCATGAAATCTTATATAAGTAATCTATAGATTATTCGTATTTTATGCTTGAAAGTACTCCAAGTTCCTGTTAATATTATTAAGAATTATAATTATAGAGCATCCTGACTTATACGATTTTAAGGATTTTTTATTGTTTATAATGAAAAATTACATACTCTAACTAATTATAGTCAATAAT